TTTAGGAAGATTCTGATTTCATAGGAGGCCAATATCTAAAAAGATAAGTTATTTATACATATAGCATAGTGGAAAAGTAGGCTAAAGTATAGAATATAGATACAGAATATAGAATACAGGGTATGAAATATGAATACAGAATATAGAATTTAGACCTCAAAATGTACAATGTAGAATATGGAGTATGGAGTATGGAATATGGAATATAGCATATAGAACATAGAATATGGAACATAGAATATGGAACATATGATATATAATATAGAATAGAAAGTATTATATAAAATTCACGAAATTTAGTTGTAAAATTACAGCATCAAAGAAATTGAAATTGCTGTTTCTTTAACCACAATTAAGAAAATAATAAAAAACTATTGTCTTTAGACGTACTTTAGAAAGAACCACAAATTATTCAGTATATTCAATGCAAAGTACGCTTATATGAGAGCTACTAAGCACTCAACTAAAACACTTAACTTCTCCATTCTATACTTAAGTTGTTGTCTTATCTCCTCTTCCACATAATCGTTTAATCGCTCAACTTCGCCGTACTAATTTGCATAAACAGCTCAAGCGGCTCAGCATCTCTCGCAATCAATCACATTTTTATCTATAATTAATAAATTTTTTTTCGCTTGTAATTGAAAAATGACACCTTTGACATACTAAAATCGTAAAATCTATAACATGAATTCTGCGACTCCATTTCGACGTGTTTATTCGCGTGTTTTATTAACGCAATAAATTCTAAATTTCTGTTATCAAACATGGCAAGAGCTCCGGGCGACCGAAGGCATCAATTAAAAACATTCAAAAAGCTAATTTCGAATATTAATAAAATAAAAATCAAAACCCAAATTTCCCTTATAAAACCAAAAATTTATGAGCTTTAAATTCAGATGAAGAAGAAAAAATCAGCGAACGTTCGAACTGGAATTGACGTAGCGTGTAACGTCTCGACGTTTGTCGTAAACAGTGAAACTGAAACAATATAATTTTTACAACCAAATAAACTGTCAATAAAATGCATTCCGCATAGGGAGCAGAAGAGTGTAGGAGTGGAGCAGCACTGAAACTGTGGAGTTTATTCACCCCGCGTAACGTAACGGAACATTTAACGTTAAACGCTGCTAAACGACACGTTATCACTGGGTTGCCAGATGAGCGGATCCATTAAATGAAACGAAAGAAAACCGCTAAAAATGGCATGAATATGTCGAGTAATACTTCGATGGTGGAGTAGACATGACAGGACGTCTTGCAATTTTCTGTTGTGCGGGATTTTATGCTGAAATCATGCTGGGTCATTAAATCTTTTTTCAGGAAAATTTCTATGCTTTCGTTTAGGTTTTCTCATATTTTTTCATCTTTGATTTAGATACTTTTTTTTCTCTTTTCGCAGATATTTTATGATTTTTTAAGTAGTCGTAAACCAAAACACTTGATGATGCATTTACTGGCATCGCTAAAGATCGTAAATTAGTGGTGAGTTTAGTGAGTCTTAAGACGGCGGTAGAAATGGCGTACTCTCCCACATTGCAGGTGTTTAATGGAATTTATACAAAGTATAAATATTTACACTTCACAAATTCTTTAAAACTCAAACTAGTATCTGAATATCTGCATAGTAAGATGAGTTAAATTATATATTATATATAAATTAAGTATTCTCCTTTTCATGTGGGTAAAATCTTGCAGCAGGATTTTCTCTATAGAGAATTTCGTAAAATCTCAAATATATTTTAATCGAAAATTATGGTTAATTATGAATACAGATTTTTTTAACAATTTTAATCATTTTTAATATTTAAATACAAATGAAGGTGCAGACCACATAAAGCTCGCAATTATTTAAAATAATTTTGAGAACAATTTATGAATGTTTGAAGGACTCAATATAAGCCCTAAACTGAACAGATATCAATAAGTAATACAATACAATAAGTAAGCATATTCGTTTTGTGAAAAAGAGTATATTAGATGATTTAGTCACGACATAGCACATTCAAAAGATTTTCTAAGCAAAAAGAACACGGTTCTAGCGCTAGCAGAACACCCCAAAATCATTGACTGGATAAAGACTTAGAAATTGAGCTCCGACTTACAACAGGTTGTAGTAAACAGGTACAAATAAAGCTTGGATACTTACATTGTGTTTAAGAAGTATTTGACATGTATAGTGTAGTTTTTGAATAAGTCGCTTAGAATAACAGCAGCTGTTTTTAGGAATCACGTTGACATAAGTTAGCTTTGTACACAGATCTTACAAATATCATATCATTCTTATCTTTATCCAGTACATAGGTTTTAAAAATTTAAATCTGATATGCAAATGTGAGGTAATTTCTACATATAGCATAGGGGTTAAAGGCTTCTTTTACAGAAGAAAAAGTTCGACGGGTACTTAAAGGAATAACCTATACTCTCCGAAAAATATGCTCTGTCCACATATTAGTTAAATTGACCTGATCCTTTTGTTAGAAAAATCTTAGGCCATGTGGTTAAGAAAATATAAAAATACGTGATACGTGGATAAAGAATATGTTAACTTGAGATTTAATTAAAATCTGGCTAATTCAACTGAATAAATTTTCTGAGTAAACCCATCCAAAATCTACTTATTTTGGCTGGTTTATTATGATATAGTGGTATGGCACATATAATAGTGGGTAACTGCTTTAAATCTTGCCAAATTTACAGCTTTAATCAGCTGTAATTTGTAGAAAAACCTTTTCCCTTACCTCTAGACAAAAACTTGAGAGTGTTAACATTAAGACATACTTACCTAAGTCCTTGCCAGCTGCTAAAGAAATTTTCAACTGTTTCTTTTATAGCATACATGTGAGGAAACTTCCAGCATAAGAGCATAATTACCATATAACAAGTCGACAGTTATAAAAGCCACGAACCAAGAGATGTCCTTTCCTAGTGGGGTAACTAGACCTCTCAATTTCAATAAGTATTGGTCACATTACATCTTCAGTAGCATAGAACTCAGGTGATTTGCAGATTATTTGATAGGTTATCATGACCTACATTATCATCTTTATAAGAAGGATTTGTCTGAAGTAAAAGAATTTTACAGCTGCTTGAAATTGAAGGAAACTTTTAGTCATATTCTTTGTGAATGCCTGACTTTGAGGTAGGGCGAGAGGATACCGCTAGGCCAGGTGTTTCTATCCTTTTGTTTCTATCCTTTCTATCCAAGATAAAATCCTGGAATCCCCGGAGTACTTTATGTTCAACTAAGATCGGTAAGTACCACCAAAGATCAATCATATTCATAGACTTCTGCTTTCTGAGAGCTAGGTTCCAGTTGCTTTTTTATTTCATTCTTTTATTGGGAAATTAATCTTGATGTTACACAAATGTCTGTGAGGCCAAAATCATTGATCTCTTGAAGAACATTATGCTTCTACAATAATTTACATATAGTACTTGGTATTCTAACAACATTTTTATCTACGTTCAGTAGAAATCTAATCTAATAACCCTTCTGTTCAATTTCTTAGGGTTGCTATAACCAAATAAGTTAATGATGTCCTCCATAAAATTAGATATTAGAATGAATTATATTCTCAGGGACTTCAAGATTGATTCGACCAAACAATACATGAAGAATAGAAGAATAGAGCCCTGAAATTATTTACGAAATCTGACAGGTTGACCAACACCGCGATATCGAATCTCAGAATGGTTACAGGTTGTTTGAGGTCAATTATTAGTATGATGAAGTGATAAACAATAATCCAGTCAAGACGTAGAGAGAGGTTATGAAGAAACCTCGCAGTTAATAAAGAGTAAAAGTGCTCAAGAACACTGATTCAACTATCCTAAACATAATAATAAAAGAAAATAAATTTTTTGACAGTGAAATTGTAAAATTCATATTTTTATTTTTATTTATATGTTTATAATATATAATAATAATAATAATGATACACTTAAGACAACTACCGAATAAAAATATAGTTTTCTATATACGTTCAACTACTTTCACAACTTACATTTACTTTTGTAATAATTTACATAAAAATACAATGTTATATATGATATTCATTTAAAAATAAATAAAGTTATATTCAAATATTTAAAAATTTTTTATTATTATAGTTATAGTTATATTTTTCATTATAAAATTTTGCTGATTATATGACAACATACAAATTTATTCGTAAAAACTAATAGTAAAAATATCTTTCATGAGAGAAGGTTTGCGATATTCTTTGTTAATTATTATGAAACATTTTTTGAACAATAAACAATAAACAAATATAAAACAAAACACAATAAACAATAAACAATAAAAAAAACTTTCATTTGCAAAAATAACAAATTTTTGTTTAATAAAAAAAGAAAGTAAAATTGGGTAAAATTATATAAAGTTTGCTTGTGAAGAAAGCCTTTCTTCCAATTTTTCTATGAGTTTTTATTTCGCGAAATGTTCAAGTGAATGAAGAATCCGAATAATTTAGACAAAAACTGAAAACGAAACCTTTCTAAACTATTATTAATCTTTTAACATATTTTTGTTTTTGTATAAAAGAAATAAATTATTGTTTTATTTATATTTTTATTTTATTGTTTTTATGGAAGCTTTTTGTTTGTTGCTAAGACGTGGGTTCTGTATTCATGAATATTGCACAAATGTTCGTTGTATTGAAACAAAAAATTTAACTTTTTTCCTATTTTGCATAAATTTAATATTATTAACAATTTATAATTTTTTTTATATATTTATTTATTTTGTTTTTGTTGTATTGTCTATTGTAAAATAATCGTATTTTTCCTACAGATATTTCGTTGTTGTTCTTTTGTTTCACGTTGTTTATAGATAGATAAACTACACATGTTATTTTGACAGTTCTTTTGATTATGAATTCTTAATTATTAATAAATACATTATTAATAAAAATATTTATATACAAATGAATGACTCTACATACATCTCTTAAGTACAGTGTTACAATGTAATGAACAATAAAAGAATATATCGAGATATACAATAATATAAAACACTAATATACACTCTAGGTTCAGTTGTAAATATACTGATATAGTTGCTTTGTACAAAGTTCTAAGTTTGATATACTTTAGTAGCTACGATATGGAAGTTCTATTTCGGTTTAATATACAAAATTAAACAGCATTTATTATATACAGAGATATGCTAATTTAACTCGAGACACTGGCCGGAGTCTAAATTACTCAAAGTACTTGGACACAACATTAATTGAATACAAAATTTTAATTACTTAATTGAGTTTTCCTTCACTACAACTCGCTTACTACTCCTTTATATAACTATCGATAAACTCATAATAAACTTCACTAATTACATTGCTCTCCAACACTACCTCTCCCACTTTACACGCACTCCATTTTCGTGCTTTTCCTACCATTTCCGTTTTTTATGTACTGCCAAAAACGCCTTAAACAGCCTGGCCGTTTTTCTTCAACCAATCTTTGTTCCTCCAAAATCGTATCCAGTATATAATAACTGCCCAGATTTAATGGCGGTGGCGGTAGTATTGGAGGTTGTCATGATATCACGCAACTTTTGCTATCACCACCACTCGTCGTGCTACCACCACAACCGCCACTACCACCAACGCTCTGCTCCTGACTAGCCAACTTTTTCTTGCGTTCATAGGCTATGGCATCGTTGGGCACATATGAAACCCGCACACCCCCATAGTGTTTGCGCGCCGGTATGCGATACACATAATCATCCATATCGCTGGATGAACTAGAGGAGCAGGTGGAACAAACACTGGCAGCATCGCAATTATCCAAATTGTTGCCGACAACACCTGCTTGCGTTTGTGCGTTGTGCAACCGCAAATTTGTTTGATTGATTTGCATTTCGGATGAACTTCGTGATTGATTACGTTTACGTCGCCTGCGTCTGGCATTTGAGTTGTCTGTATAACTTTTCGACCGTGACATAGTGTCGTTGATGCTATGGAAGCGTACCTCCTTCATATTATGCTGGCGATTATTTTCCTCATCATTGATTTCAGCAACATTATCAATTTCATGCTTGTTTCGGTGCTTATTGGTTCTTGACTTTGTCGTCAACAGTCGCTCGTAATTATCATTTGAAAAATCATTTTCATTGTCGTCATTGTCCAATTCAAGCTCGTTGGTTATTTCCTGTGTGCTTTGCGTCATATCTGAAGCACTCGGCGAGTTTATATTAATTTTGTCAATACTTTGATAACTATGCGAATCTTCGGCTTTTGACATTAGCATATCGGGTAGGGAGGATGTTAAATTTGTGTCACCAAATATTGATTTATCACCAGCGCATATATTATCCAAACTAATACCTAATTCTGTTAAGTCTATTGGTGGTGGATGTGCTGGTCTAGGTATGCCTGGTACGCCACCATTCTCTAAGTTACGTGCCAGTGTCAAACGATCCAAACCAACATTCAGTCGCTGCCGTTCATGTCTTTCTATCAAGTCACCAGCACTGCCTGCATTTTTGGTTGTATTTTTAGTGCGATTTTCTCCGCGTCCGTGCCTTGGAGATCTTGCAATTTGGCTTGTTGTACTGGCACGATGTGTTGGTCGTAATTGTGGACCGGAACTAGTATCAGACGGTGTCGGTGGTTCGCCTTTACTGCAAGCTATGGAGCAATAAATAGTTCCTCGTCTTGGTAGGAATGGTCTGCCAAGAAGTGAACAACGACATGTACAGCAGGAGAAACATTGGTCCGTTGCATGCCAATGTTGGCCATCGTGACTCATTTGACCCTGATCTACACCTATTACTTCACCGCAATAGTCACAGTACTCTGCGAACATGCTATCGAAGCAACTCAGGCAATATGGTTTGCCTTCTCTCATTATATAGCGTTGTCCACCCAGTTGCTGTTCACATTCAAGACAGGCAAAATGTTTCATATGCCAAGTACGTCCTTCCGCCTCTGTGCATTCATCAGAAAAAATTATCTGAAAATAAAATAGAAATAGTTTTATTAGATCTATATTTAGATAACTGAAATAAGCGAAAAATACTTTTTAAAAAGTTATATATAAGGAGTCCTACAATATAGACTTCTAAACATAATTCTGTACCACAGTTACGGAAGTGACTATAAGTAAGTATAATAAAAGCTACAATAGTCACAACAAAGTACTGGTGAAGGGGAAAAAGAAAAAAGAGGTGAAAAAGGATGAAGAAAATGCAGATTGAAACGGAGAAAGAAGAAAAAGACAAAAAAGAATAGTTACAGAAAATGAAAATTAAGGTTTAAGAAAAAACAAGAACAAGAGGAAAGAGAATTAACAGAGAAAGATGAAGAGAAGAAAGAGGGATGCAGAAAGAGAGAAAAAGACAAGAGGGGGAAAAGAAAGGGGGAAGGAAAAATGGAAAAAAGAGTGAAATATAGAGATACGGACGAAAAGGGAGATATAACTATAACAGAGGGGTAAATAGAGAAGGATAAAGAGAGAGGAACAAAGAGATGGATAAAGAGAGAGGAATAAAGAAAGAGCGATAAAAAAGAGGGAGTAAAAAAAGGAAGTGAGAAACAAAAATAAAAAAAAGAAGGAAATAGGCAAGAAATTCAAGTGAAACAGGAAGAGAAGAAACAGACAGTGAGGAAGAGAGAGAGAGAAAAAAGCGAGTAAGAGAAAGAAGGTGAAAGAAGATAAAAGAGGGAAAGAAGCCTTTGTTAATATAAGGAAGTCTAAAGCATATGTAGAATAATTGTGCGTTATTATTTGAAGGTTGTATTAGCGCTTAATTTTACTTCTCGTATTTAATTTTGTTGGTAACGGCATAATAGTACTTATGAAATAAGTAACGGCTTGCTCATTATGAGAAATATCGTTGTCTTATTATAGAAAACTTAAGAAAAAATTAATATACATTATTTATGTATATAATATAAATCAGAATTAGAAAAATTCCAGTATTGATAACCAAAATCTTAGACATCTTAGACATAATTAAAATAAATGTTTCTATGATTTCAATAAGAATAATTTTTGATAACAACTGTCTCAAAAAATTTGAGCTTTTCTCTGCAATAATTTTTATATATAGTTAAATTTAGCTTTTTTATTATTTTTTTTTTTATATAGTGTAACTGACTTATGTACTTATTATATATGGTTTTTGGCCTTTCAACTTAAATTGCTTCGAATTATTTACTTTGCTACTTGTTGTAATTTATAAAATATGCCCTTAATATTTAAAATACCTTAATCGGGTAATGAACAAAGTAATCTCTATAAATATTAAAAAAAAATCGAGGCAGAATGAAGAATGGAATTCCCGAAGCAAAAATAAATATTACACTCACCTCATCGCAAGCGGAACAGCGTGGCTTTTGGGTTTCCGCGTGATGTCTTCCGCAGTAGAGGTTGCCATCGCGATGAAAATAAATCAAATCCACGAGTAGTTCCTTGCAAACGCAGCACACAAAGCAACCAGGATGCCAGCAAACATGCGAGCCAAGACGCTGCGCAAAGACCACAATGTCACCGGAGGATAAATGGTCGTCACACTGCAAAAATGAAAGTGGAAATTGTGTAAAGGTAAAGTTTCAAAGAATATTCAAATAAAAATAAAAAAATTTTTTTTTTAATTTTATCACGAAAAAATTAAATGCGACCCTAAATTTTTAGAAAAAAATGTAATAATAAAATTTTTGTAATGTGAACATAAATGCCTTTGTCCCTGTCTTTTTCCATAGACGAGCGTAATGCCCCGGCGAACGGAGCTGAGATGATAACGTTTGATTCGTTTTTAGATAAAAATCAGTGCTGCTGCTTATTTGTATAAAATATTTAAATAACAATAAATGCTGCACGGCCATAGTAAAACGTTTATGCCCATTGGGCGTATGTGTGTGGAGTACTTATAATCGTGCTCATAAAATTGAAACAAAAGTTGGCAGCACTGTCAGGCACTTGCAATTTGTTTATATGTGAGGCAAGGCAAGACACACAATAGCAGAAACAGTGGCACGGTGGGCGGGGAATTGAAATAATGCAAAATTGCTTATGGCTATGCAATAAAAGCACTCCCCGGAGAATTAACAAAGTTGGCAGGCTAAAGACGAAAGACGAAAGGCGAATATTAGAAAATATCTGCACACTTAACTGAAGTGAGCGGCACAGCACAGGAAACAAAATATTTATAGCGCATAATTTTACTTTTTAATTTTTAATTTTTTTTATTTCTCGCATTTTGCAATTTTTTTCTTTTTCTGTTGTCTCATGCCAAGACGACAATTTAGTGCACCGCAACTTTTAATGACTTAACTCATTAAAGTTAAGAGAGCGAGTAATTAAATTGGGTCTTTAAGCATGGAAAGGACATCCGCGGCAATGCTGATACACAGCATCACAACACTTTGCCACTCTGGCACTTTGGCAACACTTTAAATGACAGAAACCTCAAATCAAGCAAACGGAAAAGCATATTTACGCAGCCATTTTGTAGCATTTACCTCCATTTTCTGCCAAACATCGAAAGCCAAACAACTCTAATGACGATCCTTCCCACA